CCCTGAAGATGTATGATCTTTGCAGCCTGTAATAATGAACCTTAAAAGGGATTGCTTGTTATGTAATTACAAGTGCAGAAGAAGATGGGACCAGGTTGTAAGAAGTCCTTAGCAAAGCCATCAACAACACTCACCGCCTTTGTGTTTCTTTTCCTCTGCCTTTGCCTGGAAAGAGCAGGGTGGTAGGAAGCACATGGTATTCAAAATAAGAGACAACACAAGGCCAGAAAGGTGATAGGTTAAGAGGTAGGTAAGGATTTCTCAAAAAAAAAAAAAAAAAAAAAAAGGCAGATACCATCCAAATGAAATGACATCCAAGCACCAACATAGAGAGCATCAGCTAAACAGAAAAATTAGAGAATTAGGAAAAGTGGTACCAAGAAAAAGTGACTCTAGGCCAAATATACTGTCTTCAATGAGCCAAGTAATACTGCTCCATAAAATGCTCAAGGAACACCTTAAGAGCCAAGTATACCATATTCTTATCAAGAACATGAACACAGAGCCAAGAAATATCAACCCACAAGCCGTTCTTCATGGAATTCAGACCCTCTGGTACCGAGGCACTGGGAGGCACAGATTTCTTTCATCACAGAGGGAAACCTGGACTGCAGCTTGGGTCTGTTATAGCAGCAGGTGATCTCTGGATGCTGCTGTTTAAAACAAGGAAAGCCTCACCTATGAATGTACCTACAAGCATGTTTTAGAGGCTTGGTTACATATTTCATCTGTGTATTACAAGAGACAGAGAAAACAGACTGAAGCAGTTTCCATAAAAAATTAAGGAATCTCTCTAGAAAAGACAGAGCTTTATATAGCAATGTACACACACACACATCCTGCTGCTCATCACCCAAACACCATGAGAGTTTGTGTGGATGTTGGCCAGGCTGCAGGATTGCTATGGCAAAACACAGTATTATTGCTCACATCCATGAGCAAACCCGTATCTACAACCAGATTTCAGTAGGTGGATTTCAGACAATATCTGCTATTTTTATTATTTTTTTTTTTAAATGAGGGCCACATTAAGTCAATCTCCAAATTGCTCGTTTCCAAAATATTTCAGCTCCAGTGCTACCCTTGCACACCTCTCCATTGTACATTCAGCTCTTCCCATTCAGGCTAAGAACAATACCTGCCAATACACATTCGTTCACCTCACTTATAAAATTACAATGGAAATTACCAGAGGCATAAAATAACTATTAGGATAAATAAGGAGCTTAAAAAAACCCCACCATACACATACACAGAGAGAATCAGAGACACTGATCCTTCTGTGCTGAATGTTATTCAAAAGGATTGTCAGTGCAATGCTGAACAGATCAATTTATTTCCCTTTCTTCTCTCCACTTAACTGGATTTTATGTACAAAAGTAATTGTTCCTATAAGAAACAATCCTTGTCCATGGCTTTCGAGGTTCAGAGCCTCAGACCTACATCTTTACCACTACTCGGGTTTCCATGGTAACAGATGAAGGTGCCTTCTAAAAAAATATACTATAATATTCTACAGTAAGAGCCCCAAATCATCCCCATAATATTAATGAAAACTAGAGCACGTGGGCCTGCACACAGGGCATAACAGACTTTAAAAGTCCAATTAAACAAGAAAAGCAGAGCTGAGGGACTTTCAGGAGGGTGGATGGTAAAAAAGGGCTCTGCATCTGTAAAAGAGAAGGATTATCCCTCAGAGATTCACAAACGCCTTTATACACACAGTGACCTTTCGTTGTCACTGTCGAAACAGGCGGTTCCACAACATCACCTCTTTAGTATTAATTGTTTATGTATTAGAAAACAAATCGAGCCAGCCAGGGATAAAAATAAAGTGGAATTGTGGTGCTAACAGCTCCCCAGAGGGAGAGAAAAGCGATTATTGAGTTAAATGGCTGCATTGTTAACAGTTGCCACACAGAGCAGCTCGCTCAGAAAGACCCGTTTTTCATCGCCAATTTACTGACAGCAAAATCCGAGTAAATGAACTCCTACTAAATTAAGGCTTCCCCCCAAATTTCCTTCCACTTTGCTCCCTTTTCATCTTCTCTCCTCCCTGGACGAACCCAGCGTAATGAACTCTCAGTTTGCCATAACTTTACAGTGCAGTGGCAGCCTTTGAAAGCAGCTACACATCCAAGCGTTCAGGAGCTCTGCCACCGAGAAACAAGTATGGGGAAAAAAATTAAAGCAGACACTGAAACCAGAAGAAAAACAAGTGTCAAGTAATCCGGTGTTCAAGTCAACAGCCCCAATGGAAACCCAGTGTCCTACTTTGCCCCAAATGCTTTTTCACAGCTGCAAATGACTTTAATCTCTCGTTTTGTCGCCCTGTTGTGCTAAAAACGCTCACAGAGCAGACAGCAGCAAAGTGCTCAGCAACTGCGAGAATACCCCCACATACTTGGTGGGAGAAAGATTGCACACGTGCCTTCAGGAGAAAAAACTTCCCTGTAAGCAAAGTTTCTTCATTTCTGAAATCCTGGGAGGATTGGGAACTACTAGAATTATCTGGTGTTACTTCTGTCACTTCCAAGGGAAAGTAAAGGGTTTAAATCAGTAGCTGGCCCTAAAGCTAACAGGAAGTTTAGAACCTCAAAAGCATATACCTCGAGTTACAAATAAACACAGGGAACTGCAAGGAACTGGAAGTAACTGCTGGGATGAAGAGTTATAAATAGAGCAATACAAAAATTACATAAAGGAATGAGCGTTAGCCAGCTCCCTCAACATGAAACGAGGTATTCCAGAAGACAAGCCATGAGCATTCTGCTGTCTCCTTGTAGTATTCCTAATTTTGTGTTGTGGATAATACAAAGCAGCAGCAGCAGCTGTGCAAATTGGGTAGGAACTGAATACGTTTTGCCTTGGCTTGTGTCTTTCCCACTTCTCAGCCCAGCTATCATTTAATAAAGTAAACCGAAAATTAAAAAAAAAAAAAGCAGCCAACAACTTGCACAATGATTTTTCGGGATGTTTAACAAAAGGCTGCTGAATAAACGCGTTAGGCTTTGAAAAATAATCAGGCGGGAGGTATTTGCATCGTAATAGTTATGGAGAGAGCACCACCTGATGGAAGATGGGGAAAGGCACCCATGGCATGAACCTGGAGCCGCTCCAAACTTCACTGAAATTTCGGAGACCAAATGCATCTGAAAAACTCTGCTTTGTACCATAAAAATATCAGCTCTATGGACACAGTCCAGACTGCCACACTTCACACCAGATATCTAGTTTAGAGGAGAAAAACATTTTTTGAATTTCAGCACTAAAAGCAGCCCAGAAAACACTATTATTAAAATCAGCTCCTCTTACTTTGAATGGTAAGAAGCACTCAAATAAGAGGAGGAAGGCGATACTAATGATTAAAAAAACCTCACAGTCACGATTTCCACTGAACTGATAATTAAAACGAAATCTTTCATGGCTTTCCTAAAAGTAATGGAAAACATCTGGCTAATCCTTAAATTTGCATGTGTTTAGCTCATGTGCCATTATCTCTCCAATACAAAGTGTTTTCTGCCCCCTTAAAACTTTGCTATTTTCACAGAACACCCTTCTTTCCAAGCATCTGGCTAAATGATTCATCAAAAGCTCAGGAACTAAATCTCAATTGATATGACAAGTGCCGAGAACACAAAAACAGTTGGAAGAGAGAGAAAACGGGGGGTGAAAAATAGCTCCACATATTGCTTAGTCAAGGCAGCAGCTATTTAACTAGGTTAGATTTCCCAGCCTCTCTAATAAATCTCGCTCTGTGCAGTTGCCTAGCAATGTAAACAAGATCCTGGTGGTGTCAAAGGCAGCCGGATTGATGACATCTCCTCCACCGAGGGTCTGCCTGGCCCTTCACACCCAAGCCTTGTCTTTGAGCCACCCAAGGGCTCGGTGGAAGGTGCACACAGTGCTCAGCATCTCTGACACTCCACCAGTTCTGCCTCAAAGCAGCAAGGCACAGTAATTCGAGCTCTCAGTCTTAACTAACAAAAATCCTCCACTATTTGAGATGAACTCAACTGAGTTTTGCACCTCCAACATGCCCAAGTCACAAGCACTGAGATTTATCCCCGTGCTAAGCAAAGTTACACAGGGAAATTTTACTTATCTTAAATATACAGATAGAAAAAAATATTTTAAAATGAAGTCAGGACAGAAGAAAGTTATAATTGTTTGTTTTTACCATAAGAGCACTGTAGTGAGAAAATAATTGTCGTGTTACAAGATCCAAGAGAAAAACAAGACCAATATATCTTTGGTTTACCTAGAGAATACCACAGAAGGTAAAAAACAGCTCTGTAAGCACCTGTCCTCTTCGAGTAATTCCAACTATGCCTAAAGGCACTCGTAGGAGGGGGAAAATAGCCGGCTACTATTACTGTACACATGCCAGGGAGCAAAGTACTCCTTAACATCAGAGCGACAGAAGAAGTGACAACTGGGAAGGAGCCGGTGCGAGAGGCTGAACCCCCGACAAAGTTCCCGGAGCTGCGAGGCACAAGGGGAGAGACAACTGCCACTGAACTTCCCAGACCGAGCCCAGACCCCTTCTCCTGATCGGGGCGGCAAAGGCAGCGGCTCCCCCGCGCTGCTCATCCCGCAGGAGCCAACTGGTGGCAAAACGCTGCTTACCGCCCCAAAAAAACCCTCAAATATCGTGAATCCCAGAATAACAGCGATGCTTTCACCTCTTGCCACACGCAACTTCGGCAGGAACGAGGCCCTCCCCCAGCCCTCAGCCCGCCGGGACCCCGCGCACAGGGCAGAGCCTCCCGCATCCCCCGGCAGCTCCGGAACCGGCGGGCACCGAGGCTTCTCGCTCCCGCTGGCACCGAGGGCTTCCCGCTCCATGGCCAGCGCCTTCCGAGCCGCCTCCATCCCCGGCTCGCACCGGGAGCTCCCCGCGAGGCCGGAGAGGAAAGGATGGAGCGAAGAGTTCGAGCCGCTGCGGGGGGATAACCCGGTGGAGAGGCGAGGGGGAGCCGGGGACGGGCATCGCTCACCTGGGAAGACCTGTCCCTCCGCCCTGGGCGAGAAGAGCTGCAGGAGGAAGACGATCGCGGCCACGCCGGTCATCCTTCCCCGGAGTTCACCTGCCGCGGAGCCGCTGCCTCCTCCCCGCCGGTGTCCCCCGCATTGGTGGCCGAGCGCGGCGGCCCCGGAGCCGCGGGCGCTGCTCGGCGGAGCCGCCGGAGTGGCGGCGGCGGGCGGGGAGCGGAGCGGGAGCGGGGCGGGGGCGGGCGGAGGTGCCCCCCGAGCCCAGCGCCGGCCGCGCCCGCGCAGAGCCGGCCCCGCCGCCGGGGCACCCACCCTCGGTCCCTCCCCGGATGGGGGGGAGGGAGGAGAGGTTTGGGGTGGGTTTTGGATGCCTTATTCGAGCCCCGCCAGGCGCACACGCGTCGCCCTCGCGGCAGCGCGGCTGGAGCGCAGCATCGCTCGCAGGTTTCCTGCCCTGTTTCCAGCGCGGATGGAGAGTCAGTGCAGGGGATGGCGTTAAGCGGAGGGCTGGGATTGGGGGTGGGATTGGGGATGGGTTGGAGCGAGCGACCCTCCGCCGGAGCCAAGGGGGAGACGCTGCAGGGTTTTGATGGAGAGGCTGATACGAACAGCTCACAGACACCGACAGCCGAAAATAGTAATTTCCATCATGGTTCACTTTACTTTCGAAGAGTTCAGTGCTAAACACCGAGTCAACACCGCGCACTGGGCACTGCCGGGCTTAGGCACAGGCGGGGACACAATCCTGGGCACTACCCTAAAAACTGCTTTCCAGAGGTAACTTCTTCACCCAAAAAGCACGACCCTCACCAAGGGGGGAGTAGAGGGGTGGGAAAGCACTGAACAGCGAACAGCTCCGTATGGATCAGCCAGCCATCCGAGCTGGAATTCGGACAGGAAAAGGAGAGCTATGAGCCCCGGGACTGAGCCCTCGGGCGACCACCAGCGCAGCGGGGGACGGCTTTGGGCAGTCACCCAATCCCAGCGGTGCCGGGCACGCCGCTACTCCCGGCGCTTTAGACGCCACAGAGCGCTGTTTCCTCATTGAATCCAGCACCGCTCCCGGTGGGATTGATCCACGCTCCCCCTCCCCGCCGTGGTTCCCCCTCCCCTCCCCGCTGCAGCCGATCCCGGCTCCGGCCCGCAGGGGTCGGTGTTGCACCGGCAGCGGCTCCGGGAGGGGCGGGGCGGGAGGCCCGGCCGGCACCGAGCGGTCCCTTCTGCGCTTTTTGTTCTGCTCCAGGGAAGGTTTGGGCCGTGAACACCGCTTTGTGTTTAAAACGACCCGCTTGCCTTTCATACTAAACACTTCACTGCTCCGGAGACTGAAAATTCCCGAAGTATGGAAGTGTCCTAGGGCCCTGGGCATCCTCAGGGCTCAGCCTGGTTGTCAAGCTCTGGAATAGGATGCCTCGGAGGGATTTAAAAGGCATGGGGATGTGCCAGCTGGGGACACGGCTCAGTGGTGGGCTGGGCGGTGCTGGTGCAACAGAAACAATGATCTTAAAGGTACTTTACAACCTAAATGACTCCGAGTCTGAAGTCATTACTGAACAATTTCACATTACAACCCTTGTCTGGTCAAGTGAGAGCACTACCCTGCTTTCCAATGGAGACAACCTCAGTCTGCAGTCAATACTTCCCCCACCAACAGTGTTCAAGATCCATACCCAGGGATGAGTTTGAGAGGGTCACATATTTCATCATAGAATGATTTGAGTCAGGAAGGGACCTTTTGCATTTTCCAGCTCACCTGGCACACCTCTCACTAGCCCAGGTTGCTCCAAGCCCTGTCCAACCTGGCCTTGGACACCTCAAGGAATGGGGCAGCCACAGCTTCTCTGGGCAACCAAATCTCACTCAAAACCAAATCCCCCCCAGGTGCTAAAAAACCCTCCAACCAATGAATTGTGGTCCTTTCTTTAGGGGCCAGCATCACTTCAGAAATTAAGCCATATCTGTCTTTCTTTGAGCATGAGGATAATCACAAACAAGTACAACTGGAGATAAAGGGAAAGCAGAGAACAGAACAGCAAGGAGAAAACCTCAGTCAGTCTGCCAAGCAGCAGAAAGGGTCCAGCCAGCACAGTAGGCACAGTCAGAAACTGCAGGAATAATTCTGGTATCAATGCAAATGGCTTGGACAATAAAAGCAGGACATCTTGAAACACAGAGATGCTGCTGGCAAGAAGTGAATAGAACACTAGCAAAGAACAAGCTATGAAAGACCAACTGTAAGGCAAGAGATCACCAGTTGTTTCCACATAAACTAAATAAAAGGCAAGAAACAAAAGCAAGTGTTGAGTTCATGTTCAGAATGACAAAAATTTCATAAACTATGTAATTTATTGGGTCCAAGGAGCTCAGGTAGTAGAAAGCAGAGAAGTTTAATACCTTTTTCCAACGAGATGTGTCAACCCAAGAAGAAAATTCATAATAAGCAAGGTGCAAAAGGGTGGGAGGAAAAATCCTTCCTGTTGACTGGATCAAGCAGAAAGATTAGAAATAAATCATCTACAAGAATCTGGGAAAAGGATTGACATGAGACAGCTATGTCTTAGACATCAAATAGGGCAAAGCCAAACATTAGGCTGAACTCAAATCAGGCATTACAGAGAAACACATGTATAGTAAGAAACTGCCCTAAAAGAAAGGCAGCAAGACTGTCCTGCAAGCAGAGATGACAGGGACATGGAGTTAATGGTCAGATAACCTTTCACATCTTGTTAAAAGTCAATTGTTTACATTAATACACTGATTGGCTTATAATGGAATATGCTGACAACAAAGTCAGTGGGTATTTGTAACTCGAAAGGACTGAAATAATCTTCCAGACAACAGCAGCATCTTTGAGGACTGGAGGCTCAGCAGTGGGATGAAATCCAACTATTGAAAAGTTTTATATCACTGAAGAAAGGCACTGAGAAAACATGCTGCAGATCAAGAACATGTAATATAAAACCAAACAGATTTTTAAAAAATCACTATAAAACTCATTTACAGCCAAGGGAACTCCTGAAATTCAAACAGGACCAGAATGTTGGTTCAGGCATAAACCATCAAGCCAGACAGGGACAAACTGTGCTCCAAAACTCTGGTGCTCACCAAGCAATAACACATGGTTATAGAGACTTTAAAAATATGCAGCTTTTGAGCCAGCACAGAGGACTAAAAATCCTTACAACACAGTCATGCTAGACCTCTACCTTTCAGGGCTAACATGTCCTATATGACATTATTTTCTAAAAACGGCAAAAGGAAAGTTTGAAGTCTGATTCCATCCTGGTGTAGAACATCACAGCTTATTTTGCTGTTACCAATAACTCGAGTGATTTAAAAAAAGAAAACATTAACATAAGTTCTGAAGTTTCCTTGAGCCCATCGCTTGAGGCTTCTTGACTCTGTAATGCTGTTCCCCTCACTGTGTCAGATGAGAGAAAGAGAAATTTAATTCTTTGTTTTCCAGGAACAAGCTGTACCACTTGTGGGTGAGGAGAACCAAGTGCTAAAACGAGCGAAGGCACTGACACAAGATGCATTTAATCAAGAAAACATATTAAAGAAGATCAGCTCATGAAATTGAATCAATGTTTTTGAAGTATTTAGCAAACAAGTTAGTCTGTAAATATCCAAGTCTAGATATTTATAAATATAAATACAAGCCAGGCTAGAAAGGAAAGTGGAGGAAGTCCTCCAGTCCTCTATAGTGTGTGCATCTCTTCCATCTGCCTCTGCTCGCTACAGACATTGCAGTTCCTCTCCCTAAAAACGAGTACTCCACAAGCCACGTGGTCCTTTTAAAAGGATAGGAATGCATCTTTTTGGAGTTCTACAGGCTTCTTTGGTGGTGCAAGAGTCACCAAAACACAACTGTCACTCAATTCTTTGGGTATAGGTAGATTCCAAGAGATACAGGAGAAACTTGGTTCAAGCATCACACACCAATGGGTGCTTAAAGAGAACCTCAGCTCTGAGAAGTTCAGTACAACATCAAAATCAGCCTGCTCAATATGGTAAACTAGTTTTTCTCCCCCAAGGCAAGCAGTAAGTATTATACTTGGAAGTAAATACACACACAATTTGCAGCTTTCATTATGGAGCTCCTATTATGCAGCGTCCTTGTGAAAAACCAGTCAGCAGGATTGATGGGGGGAAAAGTTTTAGGGAAATTTCAAAGGGCAGATTAAAGTTTCCACTTCCTTACATTGTGCACTGAAAGTTTGGGTCTAGAACATGATCTGATGAGCTTTTGTTGCCATGGGTGGGTGGGGGTGTTAAAGAAAGGGAACTTAACACCTTGTGCCATTCTCCTGATATCACTTGCAGTTTCACCATCTGCCTTGCCAATTCCAATTTTTATTATTAAAAATAAAAACACTCTCTCCAGCATTGGCTTCACTTTTCTGTATGGACTCACCCATATTTATAAATATAAATGTGCACATAAACATGCCATTCCTACAGAAAAAAAGTTAAACCCATATCACAGCTGTGCATCACCTTAACTACTGAGGGGCTGATGATAACCCAGCTCAGTGAGCATCAAGAAGACCTCTACCCCATTGCCTGTACCCTTTAAGTGGTACCTTATCTGTTTTTCCACTCCCACCAAGTTATCAGCACAATTACAGGTAATTATGTGCTCAAATACAGAGACCAGCTGCTTTTTTAAATCCGGTTGCAGGATGGAAATCATTAATCGATGTCACACATTGGCATTGATCCCTCATGCATTATCCTCATTAATAAGTTTCTTCCTTTCTGAAGATAAAGGAATTAACTACCAGCCATCAATTATTCAGAAATACAAGTTCACCTTTAGACACGAACACAATGACACCTTGTGGGAAATGCCAAAAAGGCCTGGATCTAGCAGTTTATCTCAACAATGCTACACCATGGAAAAGCAACGTATTTAAACCGTGGGCAGACACGAGTAAGTAGAAAGGTACAGCCAGGAGGCAACATCCAAGTAGTCTGAAATGTCAAACAGCCCAACAGTTCTTCTCCATTAGCAACAAATGTTGAACTTAAACTGTTTGTCTTCCTGTATAATAGAATACACATAATAGAATGAGGGTCAGAGTTCTCTGGTAAGCGTCTTTCTAAAACAAGGCACAATTTTTCATGGCTGCAGCTCAACTTATAGATAAAAATTAATGAAACTGCAGAGACAGCTGTAATGCACAATCTTTAGTTTGTCTGGCTCTACTTTAGTATATGT